GTGTGAGAATTAGGTGTTTGAATATTTATTTATGTAGAAAATTCATATTGCCACCTACTCGCACATGGCGACTCAAGGCGGCTTACAAGATATAAAAACCGTGCTTTAAAAAGAATAAAAAATAAGGAGAAAAATAACAGCCCACCACCCACCCCAGCGACAACACAGATTCAAACTAACCATTGAACGGGCTCTACTGTAGGTCCCCAGGCCCAGGTGGCAGAACCAGGTGTTCAGCAAATAATTTAAACATACTTGTGTTCCTATGACCTCTCTACTTCTGTATGGAAACATGCTGGTGGGACTGACTCTGTGGGACCTGGCTTTGTGTGTGTGTGTGTGGGGTGGGGGAAGTAATGTTTATCTGGCCCGGAATGATTGTGCTGCTAGTAATGGTGTCCCACCCACAGCAACCCATGACCGTGCAGGCGGGCGAGAAGATCCGAGTGGCCTTTTGGCGTTCCAGCAACTCCAAGAAAGTGTGGTACGAGTGGGCTGTGGTTTCCCCCATGTGTTCGGTCATCCACAACCCCACAGGACGTTCCTACACCATTGGACTGTGAGGAGAAGTTCGATCCGTTCCTTCCCCCCCCCCCCATCAAGACCACAAGGAAGCTTCTTCTGCTTTGCACTCGGAACAAGAGAGAGACTGATTTTTCTACGCAAAGTCCACAAGGTCTTCACCATTTGCTGGTTTGCAGGTTGGACTCAAAAGTCTTTAGCTTGGCTGCTTCCACCTGCCTTGATCATGTTTTCCGGTCGGTGAAATTTCAATAAAGTTGCTGAAATGTGTTCTTGGTAGCCACTACCCTAGAGAAACAAGGGCCTGGAGCAGGATTTTGGATGATAGATAGATAGATAGATAGATAGATAGATAGATAGATAGATAGATAGATAGACAGACAGACAGACAGACAGACAGACAGATGATAGATAGAGATAGACAGACAGACAGACAGATGATAGATAGAGATAGACAGACAGACAGACAGACAGATGATAGAGATAGATAGACAGACAGACAGATGATAGATAGAGACAGACAGACAGATGATAGAGATAGACAGACAGACAGACAGATGATAGAGATAGATAGATAGATAGATAGATAGATAGATAGATAGATAGATAGATAGATAGATAGATAGATAGATAGATAGATAGATAGATAGATAGATAGATGATAGAGATAGATAAGATAAACTTTATTGTCATTTTTTTTACTGTGGGCACAACGCCACACATTAAAAATGAAATTTAGTTGCTTACTCTCAAGGTGCACACATACATAACACACATTTAAACATGCTATATACAACGTATGTATAGACCTACACCCTTACATATAAGTAACATAAATATTAATCATTGTCCATCTTGAATACATAATGGAAGGAGGAAGCTTTAGAGTTCGCAAAGTTAATACTGTATGGAACAAAACTATGACTGAATCTGGATGTTCTGCTTCGGATACCACGGAGCCTGCCCCCAGAAGGTAACAAGGAAAACAGGTCGTGAAGAGGATGTGTCGTGTCCCAGACAATTTTGCGGACCCTGCTCAAGCAACGCTTACGTGCTACGTCCTGGATGGGAGGGAAGGAACTGCCAGTGATCTTTTCGGCTGTCCTCACCACTCTCAGCACTGCCTTCCTGTCTGAAGCAGTGATGCTTACACTCCAGACTGATCCTGTTATGACAGGATGCTCTCGATCGTCCCTCTGTAGAAAGTGGGAAGGACGGGGGAAGGAAGATGTGCTTTTCTCATGTGATGCAGAGAATGCAGGCGTTGGCGTGCCCGCTTCACCAGTGTCTCGCTGTGGAGCGACCGAGCCAGCCTACTTGTTAAACGTATTGCTAAAATAACGAGCACCAAGAGAATAAATAAGAAAATAGAATTTAATCAACCTAGCTTTCGTCGATAACGCTGAGAGAGAACCTATATATGATCGTTAAGCGCCTGTTTCCGGCTCCTGGAGCGCGTCACCGGCCCCAGCTGATTGAGTTGCGCTCTAAATGCAGTATACATAATATAATATCATATAATCCATATAGGTAGTCTTTGACTTAATGACCGTGTGTTTAGCAACCATTCTAAGTTACGACGGTGATGAAAAAAAGGGGCAAACAGTCCTCGCATCGATGACTGTCAGTGTCCTCGTGGTGACGTGATCAGAATTTGGCACTTGGCTGACAGTTGCAGCATGCTGGGATTGCCACTTCGCAATCTTCCGACAAATAAAATGAACGGGGGAAGCTGGACTCACTTAATGACCGTACCAAAAAATGGTCACAAAAGTGGGTGCAGTGGTTAAAATGCAGTATTGCAGGCCAATTCACTGCTAGCAGTTTGATCCTAACTGGCTCAAGGTTGACTCAGGCTTCCATCCTTCCGAGGTCAGTAAAATTGAGGACCCAGATTGTGGGGGGCATTAGGCCGACTCCATAAATTGCTTAGAGAGGGCTGCTAAGCCCTGCGAAGCTGTCTATAAGTCTTAGTGCTATGAATGACTGCATTCCTTAGTAACCTAAGGCCCAGTCCCAATTGTGGTCGTAAGTCAAAGACTACCTAATACAGCAGTGTTTCCCAAACTTGACAATTTTAAGGCATGAGGACTTCAACTCCCAGAATTCCACAGCCAGCAATGCTGGCTGTGGAATTCTGGGAGTTGAAGTCCACATGCCTTAAAATTGTCAAGTTTGGGAAACACTGTAATACAGGATAGGGCCATTCAGTAGAAACCTCATATTTTTTAAAGCTATGCATATATCCTGCCAGTAGTTGCCTCTGAGCTTGACTACTACAGCGGACTGTATGTAGGGCTTCCCTTGAAGAGTATCCAGAAGATGCAAAATGAGGCAGCCAAGCCTGTTAACTGGCCTGATGCAGGTTGTCCTCAACTTACAACAGTTCGCTTAGTGACCATTCGAAGTTAACAACGGCTGTGAACAAAGTGACTTAACCATTTTTCATATTAGGACCATCGGTGCCTCCCCAGTGGTCAGGTGATCAAAATTCAGAAGCTCGGCAACTGACTTGTATCTATGAGGGTTGCAAGCAAAGCCCAATGGGGGAAACCTGGTTCACTCCACCACAACTCTTGTGGAAAAATAAAGCTTTAAAAATATAAGGACTTTTACGAAATTCCGAGGGTGAAAGAGAGATTTTTATTTTTGCGCAAAAGGTTCAGAAGTGATTTAACAATCAACAAATTTCTGAACAAGGGGGAGGATCTAAACTAAAGCTTTATAGGTTTCTATTTCTCAGGAACAAAGGAGGCATAGATGGAATCTTACATTGTATATGGAATCTACTTTGTGTAACATTCAGATAGTTTCTCACACGTTAGCTCCATTTCTCATGGGAATACAATGAAGGCAGTTTTTACTTTTATACAATGTTTCTAAATATGCATTAGGTCAGGGGTAGGCAACCTCGGCTCTTTTATGACTCATGGACTTCAACTCCCAGAATTCCATAGCCAGCCATGCTGAGGGGAAAGGGAGAGGTTTCCAAGCTGAGCCATGCTGGCTCAGGAATTCTGGGAGTTGAAGTCCATGAGTCATAAAAGAGCCGAGGTTGCCTACCACTGCATTAGGTCATTCACGTACTGTTAATACAGCTTTTGGCTAACACAGCTTTCTTTCAGAGATTATGCAGACACATGATTTTTGCTTTTAGTGATTTTTCATTATTATTATTATTATTTTACTTTATTCTATGTTATTCTATTTCTTTCCCACTTTACAACTGTGTGACCTATCTTGACAACTGCAGTGATTCACTGAGCGACTGTGGCAAGAAAGGTCGTAAAACGGGGTAAAATCCGCTTAACCGATTTCTCGCTCAGCAACATAAAATGTTGGGCTCAAACTGCGGGCCTAAATCGAGGCGCTGACTTGCTGCCATTGTGGTGTCCTTGGTTTCCTGCTGTTTTAAGGGCGCATGGAAAGGGGTGCTTTTCCTTTCATCACCCCCTAAACGCCTGGGGTGGGCTGGGGGGGGGTCCTGGATACATAAGGGGGGTCCCGGCTCCCAATTTGAACCAGGATTAGCTTGAGGGGGTGACCCTTTGAGAGCTGTAGGCAACGAAATTTCATTTTGGTGTATGCTGATTGGTGTACATTCAAAGTGACAATAAAGTTGTTGTTATTGAATCAGGATTAGTTGAGGCGGCCCTTCTGAAAGCGGCCTCTCCTTTCTCACGTAATGGGCTCCCTCAGGAATGGCGCTCAACGGCCAGGCTTTAATAAGGCTTTAATAATAAGAGATTATGGAGACCTTCGGCCCTTCCGAATCCCCATCCCGCCTCGACAACCTACAAAACCTCCCCAGTTTCGGGACAAAGGACGCCTATTTTGCCTCCTCGCTAGGAAACTGGGCGAGGCGAACAACTCGCCAGGCCTCAGCCGGGAGACCAGGCCGCTGTTGCCGTGGTAACTGCGCGACTCCTCCCCTTTTTCCTTCGCTACAGGAAAGTGGTTCCCTTACCGATTCGGCGACCAAAGGCCCAATCAGGTCTTTGTTTGTAGCCTGAAGGGCTAACCAATCAGGGCAAACCTCGCAGGGGAGGAGCCTTTCGCTTCGCTCCACCCACCACGCTGTAGCCCAATGATATTCGCTGTACTTAATAAACTTTCGCGTTTTTTCCGCTCATTCAGCCAACCAGCTGCCCCGATAGTTTAGTTTATTTTTTTTTCCCCGTCGGCTTGCCCAATTGGCTACTAGGAAACCCCGCCTCTGTCTTAACAACCATTGGTTTTCCAACCTGCGAGGGAAGTAAAGGTAAAAAAAAAAGAGATCTATCTCAATACGCCTTTCTGAGCCGTGATCGAATCAGCGGGAACGTCACTCTAAAAGCCCGCCTCCCCGAGGAGGACAATCCAATCGGCGCCCGAGCTTTTCCCTTCGGGTCCTTCCCTCTTTAACACGCTTCATCTTTTCTCCTCATCTTTTCAGCCAATCCGCGGTGCGGAGGCCCCTGCGCACGCGTGCTGCGCCCCCTCGCGAGGCGAAGGAGAAGGGAGGGGTACGGTCCTGGAGGGAGCAGCGTCCGCCGCCATCTTAGAATCGCTGCTGCTCCTGCTTCGCTGCGGCCGCGTCTGAGGCGAGAGCGAAGCCCTTCGGAGGCCGGCGGGACGGACAACATCGCCGGGGTCTAGCGGCCAAAAGGGAGGGGGAGGTGGGTGAGTGACTTAGAAGGTGAAAAAGAACCCAAAACAGCCAGGCCTCAGGCGGTCGAAGCATCGAACGGATAGCGGCGGTGACGTCACGCCTCGGGCGGTGACGTCAAACGGGAGAGGGGGGGCTTAGAATTTCCACCAGGGCTCCAAAAGAGGAGGGGGGGGAAGAGGCGCAGATGCCGAAAGGGGTGTGGCCTCGGGGCGAGGGCGTGGCCTGGCCCCCTCGGGTACCTTTCGGCCTTTCCTTTCTTCCCGGAAGTGTGTTTTTGGGGGAGGGGGAGGCCGCTGCTCGTCTCCAGGGCAGGTAGGTGACAAGATGGAGCCTTGGGGAAGGCAGGGAGTCGGGGGAACATGGCGCAGAGGGTGCCCTGGTCCATGTGGCTCTGCTTTTCTACCCACAGGCGCTGGGGCTGCGGTGTGCTGGTGCTTCGTTGTCTTAGTCGGGGCGAGGCAGGAGGAAAGAAGAGAGAGAGAGGTAGGTGCCATCCTTGGGCCCGTCGGATAAAGCAGTGATTCTCAGCCTTGGCAGGTTGAAAATGTGTGGACTTCGACTCCCACAATTCCCCAGCCAGTATAGCTGGCTGGGGAATTCTGGGAGTTGAAGACCAGACATGTTCAGCCCCCAGGGTGGCTGGCTGGGGAATTCTGGGAGTTGAAGGCCAAACATCTTCAGCCCTCAGGGTGGCTAGCTGGGGAATTCTGGGAGTTGAAGGCCAAACATCTTCAGCCCCCAGGGTGGCTGGCTGGGGAATTCTGGGAGTTGAAGACCAGACATGTTCAGCCCCCAGGATGGCTGGCTGGGGAATTCTGGGAGTTGAAGGCCAGACATCTTCAGCCCCCAGGGTGGCTGGCTGGGGAATTCTGGGAGTTGAAGGCCAAACATCTTCAAGTTGCCAAGGTCAAGAAACACTGAGATAAGGAATAAGCCACAGCCCTTTCAGGCTGGGGGGGGGTGGGGGAAATGGGATAGAAATCTGTTGAAAGGAGTTATATTAAATGGGATGAAATTTCAGAATAACTGAATAACAAGAGTTGGAAGAGACCTTGGAGGTCTTCTAGTCCAGTGGTTCTCAACCTTTTTAATACTGCGACCCCCAACCGGTCGTAAGTCGAGGACTACTCAACTGGTGCAGCACCGTTTGCAGAATGGGACTTTTGGCGGGCTCAGCAGGGCAGAGACAGCCTGGACAATTCCTATTGGCTTTTGGAAGCAAATAGAATTAGACTCTATTCAAGAGAGTCTATTCTATTGGCTTTCAAAAGCCAATAGAATAAAAGGGAGTAGCACAGCTAAGAAAAAGGGGGGAAAAATGGCGGACTGCTTTGTTTAGCGACCCCCGTGAAATGGTCGTTCGACCCCAAATGGGGTCCCGACCCACAGGTTGAGAACCACTGTGCTAGTCCAACCTTCTGCTCAGACTGCAATAATGGAATTGGAATATTCTTTATTGGCCAAGTGTGATTGGACACACAAGGAAGACCCCAAATTAAACTAAGGAGACCCTAAATCAGTGCTTCTCAACCTTGACTTCTTTAAAGGAGTGTGGGCTTCAACTCCCAGAATTCCCTAGCCATCTATGCTGGCTGGGAAATTCTGGGAGTTGAAGTCCACTCATCTTAAAAGTTACTAAGGTTGAGTCGCTGCCCTGCCTCGACCATTTCAGACAAAAGGTGGTTCAGTATGGCCTTGCCTTACTGAATGATTTATTCCTTGGCCTGGCCCTTGCTTGGGGGGGTCTTCCTTTGCAGGTTTGCTTAATAGAGTTGATTTCCAGATGAATTATTTCCTAATAAAGCTTCCTTGAGGAAAAAAACATATCTACCTCAAGAGGGAAAAAACCCATAGTTCAGTTGCCTTCTGAAAAAAGCACCTTTGAGACAACCGGTTATGACCTGGATGATTGAGAATCGTCATAGACGCTTATTTTCAGAGAATTTGAGAAATTGCCCTGATTTCTGTTGTGCTTATACCCAGAAGAGTGGTCACCTGCCATCTTTGCAGGCCCTGTGAAGCTATATTTATGACATTTTTGTTTTGTTGAATTGGATGACGAGTGAATTAGACTCTTCAGTAAGCATGGAATAAGAGTCTAAAGGCATGGAGGTGGCTTAGGGCAGGAAAATGAAATTGGTTTCAAGCCTGTTTGCTTTTAGAAATCTAGAATCCCGTGTCTTGTTAGAAAAGGCTTGTGGTGAGAGATTATCTGGGTTTGAATGCATGTGTGACTTCTTCAAACAAAGCCTAGTAAACAAGGAAGTTGTGCGGATATGCTGTAGTAAAGTGAGCTGAGGGCAGTAGTGCAGATCATGATAACAATAAAAGCAGTGGGTTTTGGTGAGTGTGCTATAATATTGGATTACAAAATATGTATTTTTGTTTTCGGATTTCAAAAAGGATTCTTAACCTGCCAGTTGGAAGGAAAAGATCTTGGGAAAGGGAATTAGAAAGATGAAATTTTAATAACAATGGGAAGTTTACGAGTTTCTGGCTTTTTTTTTTTTTTCCAAAAGTGAATGTTGGGAATATTTCTGATCTATTGGATCTCAAGGCTGTTAATGTGTTTTGAGAGTGTGCTTACTTTTATTGTATTCCCAGATCCTAAAATTTGGCAGTTTGGAATTTTGTAATGTATAGAATAACCAGGAGTGTGGAAATAGGAAGAGAAGCTTCTTTGCATGTTTGAGTTTTAAGTAAATAAATCTGAATGTAATGCCCTTTTTGGATAAGGCTCTTATGGGTACTTTTGCATTTCAGAAGGCTTCTTGTGTCTGCAAGGAGCCTTACTCTGTGCAAAGAGCTACAGTTGGCTGATTTCAGCAATCTGCATAGTATTTTTTGCTAGTTTTCCATGACTTAAACTAGGAACAATCAATGGTGAGCCTTTCAGTTTATGAGCCTGTAAGTTAAAATTTTGGTGTTCCCCATGCCTGCTGATTGGAAAATTTTAAAACTCATTTGTGCTGTTTGCTTTTCCAGTAGAATGTTACAGTATGTACTTTCAGAGCTCTCATTGTTAAAAAAAACTAGGGCAATATATGTTTATTGCTAGATATTGTCAGGGTTTTTTGTTTTTGTTTTTTTTTTTTGGCTTGGTTAAATTGTTAGGAGATGAAAAGGGGTTATTTGATTGAATTTCCCACTTACATTCCAGTAAATTTCCTTTTATTTTGAAATAAGTAATAACTCAAGTCCTTTCCTGGGTAACACAGAGTGCAAAAAACATCAGAGTAGATGTATAATTGCTGATAACTTCTAAAGCAGTTCCATTCCAGTTATCCTGATATATTCTTACTTTAGAAATAAGGATGAACAGTCTTGGGACTTAACTGGAAGGAAGAATATGAAGGGTTTGCCCTTGGAAATTCAGATAAGCCTTTTTAGAAACTTATATGTGCTTACATAGAGCAACTTGCAACTGATAGCAATCTCCTTTATTCAAGATAACATTTATAAGGATTACTGGTAGATGGCTTGGCTCTCTTTTGGAAAGAGAAAAAAAAATCAAGGAAAGAAAGGTAGGAGGAGAGAAAACTAGATATGCATTGGCAGCTGAAATTTAACTGTGCATTTGTTGAAAAGGTTCTGTGAAAGAGACAGAAATAAACTGACTGATTCCTTCTGCTTACCACATTTTGGAGCAGTGGTTTTCAACCTGTCGTCACAGGAGGTCCACGGAGGCTAGAAGAAATGTGACAATTTAAATCTTAAGTCTTGGGGCGTGGGTCCGTGGCCACAAAAGGTATTTAAAGGGGGTCCATGGTGAAGAAAAGATTGAGAACTGCTGTTTTGGAGGATTCCTGGCCTCTCTCAAACTCGTTTTATTTAAGAAGATATTTTAAATGCCTCGTTCTGTTCTTCTAACATGAGCATCAATTAGTGCTCTGATCTGCACGTACTTAAGGCTCATGGCACAACTTCGATTTCTCGTCCCGAGTTACTAAAAAGTTAGCAGCGAGAGGGTAGAATAAGTTTAGGGAAGGGCCAGAATTGTTGTGAAATCTTCCTGGAACTGAAAAGAGGGTAGTTTTGCTCCTGTTTTGGGTTGGTGAAATCTGTTCCGTTTACGCCAGTTACGATCCTGCAGGTTATACATGTTTACAGCTAGGATTGAGCCAAACTGGGGAACTCTGGAATGTTCCCTTTTGCCCCCGGGATGGCAAGGTCCAGAAGGGCAGTGTTGGTTGCATTCCCAATTTTTCTCAAGTCTTGGCAGCTTTAAACCGTGTGGACTTCCAACTCCCAGAATTGGGTGGGGGTTGAAGGCTAGGGAATTCTGAGAATCGAAATCCACGCAGCCTAAAAGTTGCTAAAATTGAGAAATGCTGCATTCCCAAATCATCAAGCTTTGCACTCTCTCCTTAGATTCCAAAGTTCTGCTAAAGTAACTGCATGTTTGAATAAAGTTATGGGAGCCTGAAGTGTTATTGCAGGATACTGTGTGTGGGGTTTTTTTTCCACCCACAACGCTGGGATTCATTTTCTTTCTTTCCCCTTCTCCTTCTCCCTTTCTCATCATCTCTTTGTTTCTTTCTGTCTTTTTCTTTTCTCTTTTTTCTCTCTCCTTCTTTTAAACATGTTTATAAAATGCCTCTTTTTCTCTCTTTTTTTTAACTAAACATTTCACGCTTAAAATAGATATAAATATTTGATTGTAATATTGTGGCAAATCGTTTGAACCAGAATTGTGAAACCCGTTTACAAATCAACTTTAAAAAAGAATGATAATGTGGTTTTTAGGATTTCTTAGCTGCTGATAGATAGCACAATTTTTTTCTACTCTTCCCCTCCTCCTTTCATCCAAACATTTTCTAGGACTTTCTTCTCCAGTCTGTTGATTTTTTTAAAAAAAAAAAACTGGATTTGAATGCCCGTCTGGCCATCTCCTCCAGAAGCAAGTTACACTCGCAAAATCCTTTTAAATTATAGTTCTACCTTAACCCAGTGGAGAAACAAACCTTAGACTAGAATAGAGCTGGAAGGGACCTTGGAGGTCTTCTAGTCCAGCCCCCTGCTAGAGCAGGAGAACATATACCATCTCAGACAAGTGACTATCTAGCCCAGGGGTAGGCAACCTTGGCTCTTTTATGACTCGTGGACTTCAACTCCCAGAATTCCTGAGCCAGCATGGCTGGCTCTGGAATTCTGGGAGTTGAAGTCCACGAGTCATAAAAGAGCCAAGGTCGCCTACCCCTGATCTAGCCTCTTTTGAAAAATCTCAACTGATGGAGCGCCCACGATTTCTGGGGGCAAGCTGTTCCACTGGTTAATTTTCCTCAACGTCAGGAAGTTTCTCCTTAGTTCCAGGTTGCTTCTCTCTCTGGTCAGTTTCCATTTGCTCATTCGTGACAGTCTGAGGGATTTTGAAATAGGAGTTTTCTTAGGATGGGCTGGAGACAGCTATGTCTGTGAGCAAAGTTTGCTCCGAAAGAGTGGAGAGAAAAAGAAGCAAAGGCCAATTGTTATAAATTATGGTTCCCTTTATGTAAAAAGTTGATGGATAATTAATTTGAAAGGGGAGGGGGGTGGTTCTTCGCTGGATACCCTTTCCAGGGGAATCCAGACAGGTGGTTTTAGAAGCACAATTCCATTCCAGAGTGTAGAACGTCTTGTCTCCAGGCAACGTAGATGGCCCAGCTCCCCGTTCTATATTCCACTTCTCAAATCCATTCAGGCCTCCCCCTTCTCTTCCAGGCTGTGACCAGCTCTTTGGCCTGCAAGACCGCCTTCTCCACCAGCGGCTCCTCCGCCTTGGGGTGGTGGGGAGCCCACCCATTTGGGCCAGCCATGGATCCGGCGTTCCCCCATCCATCCCGGGATCCTGTGAGTATCCAGCCTTCTTTCCCTTTTCGTTTGGAGAAGGTGGCACGTTGGGGGGTTGTCACCGGGAAAGCTCCCGCCTTCTTATTCTGGACTCTTTTTATTCATAGACCCAAGAAGATGGCATGGCCTCCGACGACTTTGACATCGTGATAGAGGCAATGCTGGAGGCCCCGTACAAGAAAGAGGAGGTGAGGAACAGAGATATTAAAAAAAAAAAAAAAATCAGAAACGTGTTAAACCTGTGGGAAAGGATTACTGTGTTGTAGTTTGCCAGGGATCCAGAGATAACGATAAAAACAGTTTTATGTTTGCAAGTTCGAAGGACTCCCGTGAATCGTGGGGGAGGGGGAATGGAGGAGGGAAGGCTTGGGGAAAATGAAAGTAAGGGCTGTATCTCTTCGAGATGCTGCCTCAAGGTCACCCAGCTGGAAGAAGGGAGGGGATCACATACCAAACTGCTGGCTTGGAGTGTTATGAAAACATCTTGCCTGACCTACTTGGTTACACTGGGGGAGGAGCAATGAGAGATATTTGGATATTCTGTAGCAGTGGTTCTCAACCTTTTTAATGCCGTGACCCCCCAACCGGTCATAAGTCAAGGACTACTCAACCGGTCGTAAGTCGAGGACTACTCAACGGGTGCAGCACCGTTTGCAGACTGGGACTTTTGGCGGGCTCAGCAGGGCAGAGACAGCCTGGACAATTCCTATTGGCTTTTGAAAGCCAATCGAATTAGACTCTATTCAAGAGAGTCTATTCTATTGGCTTTCAAAAGCCAATAGAATAAAAGGGAGTAGCACAGCTAAGGAAAAGGGGGGAAAAATGGCGGACTGCGTTGTTTGGCGACCCCCGTGAAATGGTCGTTCGACTCCAAATGGGGTCCCGACCCACAGGTTGAGAACCACTGGTCTATCGATTTGGAAGACTGGCTGCAAAATTTTGGGATAGAACTATTAAATTGACTGAAGCAGTCTCCTACAAAGAAAATCTGTATAAAATGTTTTATAGATGGCATACCGACACCAGTAAGATTAGCGAAAATGTTTAAAAATACTTCAAATAATTGTTGGAATTACAGACAGAGGCCAGGTGCTTAACTATCGTATTTGGTGGGTATGCCCTAAAGCGGAAAAGTTTTGGGTTAAGATACATATGTGGCTGGAAAAGATGACTAAAAGACAGATAGAATTTAAACCAGAACTGTTTTTGTTAGGAGCTAATTATGAGGAGTATTTAATATTGCATGTACAGCAGTGAGAATAGTATTTGCCCAATACTGGAAAAATGAAAGATTTTAATTAAGAAAATCTTAGAACAGTGGTTCTGAACCTTTTTAATGCCGCGACCCCCCCCCCAAACCAGTTGTAAGTCGAGGACTATTCAACCGGTCGTAAGTCGAGGACTACTCAACTGGTGCAGCACCATTTACAGAATGGTACTTTTGGCGGCTCAGCAGGGCAGAGACAGCCTGGACAATTCCTGTTGGCTTTTGAAAGCCAATAGAATTAGACTCTATTCAAGAGAGTCTATTCTATTGGCTTTCAAAAGCCAATAGAATAAAAGGGAGTAGCACAGCTAAGGAAAAGGGGGAAATGGCGGACTGCATTGTTTGGTGACCCCCGTGAAATGGTCGTTCGACCCTAAATGGGGTCCTGACCCACAGATTGAGAACCACTGTCTTAGAATGTGCAGAAACGGCTAGATTAACTTTAGAGATCAAAGAGAAAGAAGATTCAGTTTATTTTAGAACATGGGATAATTTTTACCAATGGTTAGGAACACAAACTAATGAGAAATGAATGTGGTATGTTATTTTGAATATATATTAGTCAGAACAATGATATGCATTGACCAACTGATACTGTTCATGATTATCGTTTATAATATTTACTACAGCTATTTACCATTACAGTAATTATATCAATTAGTGTTAACTGAACATATGTACCCGGACAATAAATAGTCTGTTTGCTAAAGCTTGAAAATGTTATTGGGGGGGGTAACCCCAATGTTGTTCCCAACCCTGCCCTAATCCCAGTCCCGATCTTAACCCTACCCTGAACCTTAATCCCGATCCTATCCCATCCCTAACCCTATAAAACTCAATAAAAACCTTTATAACGAGAGATAGTTAAGGGACGGAAAAGTAGAATTTAGGGATTTTCGTGCGTGCTTCTCAGTTCTGGCTTTGCAATACTCCAGTACACTTGACCTCTAATCCAGAGATCCCCAACCCTTTTGGGCACCAGGGACCAGTTCCGTGGTTTTTCCGCAGACCGGAGGGTGCGTGGTTTTGTGTGCTGCCTGCATCCCGTGGAAGGCGCTTTGCTTGTGCGGCCCGGTTGCTGGCAAGCTGCGGTCCTGTACCGGTCCACGGACCAGGGATTGGGGACCCCTGCTCTGATAAACTCTACCTTTCTCGACAAACGGGAGTCAAGGATCGTCCCTGTTTTAGGGGTTTAAGTTGTGGCAGGCCTGACCCCATGTAATTCAAGATGGTTTTCAAAACATTGTCAAGTTTCCTTCCTTAGCAGAAGTAGAAATGCGTATCAGGAATTTGTATCAGGTTAAAATAAGGTGGCGGCTCCTTTTCTGCTGAGTTAAGCGCCAAGTAGATTTTCGTAGGCGTAGCTTTATTTATTTATTTATGAGACTTATATACCGCTTTAAGTGCAAGCACTCTCTAAGCGGTGTATATATATATATATATATTTTACATTGCCCCCAACAATCTGGGTCCTCATTTTACCTACCCCGGAAGGATGGAAGGCTGAGTCAACCTTGAGCCAGTGAGATTTGAACAGCTGACCTGCTGAACACAGTCAGCTAAAGTGGCCTGCAGTACTGTACTCTAACTGCTGCGCCACCTCGCCTCTTTATGCTTCTCAGACATCCCACCTCACCTCCAAGGGCAAAACTCTCCTGGAGTCTGACAGAGGAAGACAGAGGGTGGGTGGGGGTGGGGATCCAGTTCCCAGTGTTGCTGGTCTCCATTTACTTGGAAGTCCGTCATAACAACCACAGTTGATCCCCACCTTTCCGTGGCTAAGCAAAATTGTCATAAAATGGAGTTTTGCTCCATTGTACGACTTCTCCTTCATTGACTTTGCTGGTCTGAAGGTGACAAAAGGATTCCCATGACCCTGGGCTGCAGCTGTCATGAACCAGTCGCCGAGCATCTAAATCCCGACCATGTGGCCGTGGGAACGCTGTGGCGGACCTAAGCTTGGGAAACGATCAAAAGTCACTTTTGGGGCTGCGGTTGTAACTTTGAATGGTCACTAAGGGGACGCTTGTAAGTCGAGGGCTACCTGTAATGGAAACGTCGCTTGCCGCTTGTGCCGAACCTCATGTTCCAGTCCCGGCAACTCCTATCGTCCCGAGTCTGCGTTGTGCAGAATATTGTGTTTTAAGGATGACGATCGCGCCAGTCTCCAGAGACGTTTCAATCTGGATTAACCCAGCTCTAAACTCTTATATATATATATTAATATTTATTGGAGACAGGTCTCTCAGTTGTCTCCCTCGTTCTCAGCATTCTCAGTAACGAAAAATGCAAACACTGAGAGATGATAAGGGGTGTTATGTCATAGTTGGGCCAAAGTGACTGTGCTGGTCAGAGTATATAGCCACCTGGTCAGAGCATATAGCTAGCTTAGGAATTAAGAACTTAATGCTGGCTGTGGAATTCTGGGAGTTGAAGTCCACATGCCTTAAAATTGTCAAGTTTGGGAAACACTGCCTTAAGGGACAGCCTTCTGGACGATGTAGTTTATGTTACCTGGTCATATCTGTATTAGGATTGGCCACTGGGAGGGACTTCTGTTTTATTACGGGATATCCTGGTTACGTGCCAAGTCAGTGAGGTTTCTATGAATTGCAGCCACGAGGTCTGTGTCAGCTCCATTAATATGGAAGAAGTTATTTTGCTTTTACCTATGGCAGGGCTTTTCAACCTTTTCACCCACTGTACCACTTTTAGGATATGGCAACATCCGAGTACCACCAGTTGCCTAGCAAAGTGTCAAAAACTTGATGACCAAAAAAAAAAGTGATGACGTACAGGTAGTCCTTGACTTACAACAGTTCGCTTAGTGACTGTTCGAAGTTACAGTGGCACTGAAAAAAGTCCCCCAAAGCCACAGCCGAGCAAGACACCTGCCTGCCCACCCGACGGCGCTCTTCCTCCTGTCCGAGGTTTTCATTGTTGTGAGCATTTCTCTTGAGGATTGGCAGCAGGGGTGGGGGGGGGTGTTTGGTTTTTATTCCCCCCGTCTGCTGGGTGGTTGCAGCAGGTTTTGGTCACTTCACATGACCCTGGGACACTGTGACCGTCATAACTAGGAATCGGTTGCCAAGCCTCTGAATGTCAATCACAAGACCCTGGAGATGCTGCAACATTCCAGCTGATCGGCGCTTCTTCTGGGCTGGGCAGAAGCGCCAGGATCAGTGGTGAGCTCCAGCTGGAGCCTGGCGCTGATCCTGGCGCTTCCGCTGAGCCCTGACAGCCCTGCAGCTCCAGCCGTCTCTCGCTCGGGCTTGTGCAGTGCTGCCACCGGTTCAGCTCATTCCCCTCCCCTGCTACCACTTTTCTAGGATGGTCGCGTACCACCTGCCAGGTGCCAATGGACCACAGGTGGTACCCGTACCACTGGTTGAAAAGCCCTGACCTGTGGGATGGGTCCAAATTACAATCTGTGTTCCAGAAGAATCTCTACAGTCACTGTTAAGTTATTGATTTGAGGACGCCTGGGGAATAAAGTAATTCGCACGCATCCCTTCCGTGGAGTTATTCTGCCTGTATCAAGGCATATCTGGCAATCTCCTTTGCTTGAACCGGGACAGTGACTGGGTAGTTCAATCCTTTTTTTCTTTCTTTCTTTCTTTTTCTTTTTTCTTTTTTTGCCTCTAAAAATTAGGACCGAAATTCTTAAGGAACGTGTGAAAAAACGGAGGATGCCCTTTGAAGGTTAGAGTTCAGGATTCTGCCCTCCGCGTTGCAAGTGACAGTTGAAGCCCGCTGATAGCATTCTCTCTTGGGGGATGAGAGGGAAGAAAGGAGAGGAGAGAGAAAGGAGTAAAGGAGGGGAGAAGGAAGTAGGAAGGTTGGAGGAAGAGGAAAGGGGAGGAAAGTGGTGAAGGAGAGGAGAGGAAGAAGAGGGAAGTAGGGAAGAGAAGAAAGGGAGAAAGAAGGTAAAGAAGAAGGAGTGTGGATACGGTGAAAGGGGAAATGGGGGAGCAACACCAAAGTTATGTGTATGTATTTATTTCATTTTGTTAAAAGTAATCTGTATGTGAGTGTGGAGGGAATGTATGTTAATATCTGATAAGTATTACGGTATATGTACGGGGGAGAGTTCGGAAAAATAAAAAATTATTTTAAAAAAAGAAAAGCATTCTCTCTTGCAGTGGTTCTCAACCTTTTTAATGCCGCGACCCCCCAACCGGTCGTAAGTCGAGGACTACTCAACTGGTGCAGCCCCGTTTGCAGAATGGGACTTTTGGCGGGCTCAGCAGGGCAGAGACAGCCTGGACAATTCCTATTGGCTTTGGAAAGCCAATAGAATTAGACTCTATTCAAGAGAGTCTCTTCTATTGGCTTTCAAAAGCCATTGGAATAAAAGGGAGGAGCACAGCTAAGGAAAAGGGGGGGGAAATGGCGGACTGCTTTGTTTGGCGACCCCCCGTGAAATGGTCGTTCGACCCCAAATGGGGTCCCGACCCACAGGTTGAGAACCACTGCTCTCTTGGGTCACTTTGCACCTCTGTCACTTTGCACCTCTAGCTAGCCAAACTGCGCTGTCGGTTGATAACATGTTGAAGTGGAAAAAGGGGGATCGCCTTTCCGTGGCCCGCTTTCTCTTGGTGCCCCTTGGCCCTGAATCCACTCTTGTGTTTCTTCCAGGCCCAGCCAGGACCCTCGAAGCCGCCAGCTGACCCCCCCACAGCCCAGGTAATGTCCAAAAAACGGAAGGGGAGGAGATATGCGAGAGAGAGAGAGAGAGCTGGAGGGCCACACGCTAAACTCCTTTCTCTTCTCCCTTAGCCGTCTCAGGAGGAGCAAGGAAAAGAAGCAAAGAAGGACAGCGCCCCCAGCAGCAGCAATGGGGAAAGCAGCAGGTGAGCTGCGGAGGCTGTGCGGATCCCCCTTCGCTTCTGCCCTCCCTCCCTCCCTCTGTCGGAGTGACTCTCTTTTTTTTTTATTGAAAGTTTTTTATTTTTTCCATATAAACATTGTAAAAAATATATATATACAATACAATTTTAAGATAAAATAAACATTATTACGACCTGCGCACTCCCCCCCCCCCGGCCGCGTCCACCCTCTCTTAAAACATTCCCTACTTCCCTCCTCTTTCTCACCTCCCATCCTACTCTCTTCCCCTCCCCTTCTCCTCTCACTGCCCTACTTCCTCTCTACACTTGCCCACCTCTCATCCCTATCAAACCCATGAACACAGCATAAGGGGAGTGCCCAGGCCGCACCCCTATAAGCAACCATTATCTATATTACACTTACCCCCCCCCCCCACATTTCCTCCCTGTCAGGAGTGACTCTCATTGCTGGCTTGCTTCCCCCCCTCACAGCAAAAAGAAGAAGAGTAGGAGTCGCAGCAAGAGCCGAGACCACAGACACAGGTAGGGGGATGGTCCTCAAGAGAGATCACAGAGGAAGTAGGCAGGCCCAGGCTGGGGTTGGTGCAGAGGCAGAGGGGTTCCCCCCCATAGGGAAGCTGGCACGGGACCTTTAAAAAAAGTGGGGCGGGATGGGAATCGTGGCACCTCAGCGGCCACCTTAGCGCTCGTTTGTGCTTTGCGACCATGCGGTGGTGGCGAACCTTTTAGAGGCCGAGGGCCCAAACTACAACCCCAAACCCACTCATTTATTGCCGGGCGCCAGGTGGGCGTGGCTGTGGTGGTCATGGCAGACGGGGTGGGTGTGTGACCAAGGTGGGCGTGGTCACCTTGACGTTGCTCGTGGGGAGGGATGCCTGTGAGGGCCGGGCCGGGCCGGGTTGGGGGAGATCCAGGGGGTGTCTAGCAGGCGGGGCGATGGGCAGGAGGCTCATCCTGCGGGGTGAGGTGAGGCAAGCCGAGGCAGGGCAGCAGTGCCATTGTCGCAAGGCAAAGCCGAGGCAGCTGCTGCCTGACACCATCGGCCCCCCATACACAGAGGCCAGCGAGCACATGGGGGCGACAGTGTCCGTCAGCAGCCACAGCCTGCCGGCCCTTTGACCGGCACACTCTGGGGCTCCACAGCCCGTCGCCAGCAGTTCAGAGAAGCCGCCTCTGAGCTGAACGGCAGGCCAACAGCTGTGGAGGCAATGCAGTGGGTCGTGCCCAGGAAAAGGAGAGCATGCAAGGCCAGGAGGGATGGGATGGTGGGGAGGGAAACCAGCCGTGCTGGGATGCATCCGGCCACGTGGGACCTCAGGTGGCTGGTTGAAGAGGGACGGTTGCCATCTCCGGGGCATGGCACACGTGCGCACAAAGAGGGCTTAGAGTGCCGCCTCTGGCACTCGTGCCATAGGTTCGCCACCACTGGTTTAAGGGAAAGCGAAAGTCATCACTGCATCTCCCCAGATGCTGCCTCAAGGTCACCCAGCTGGGAGAAGAAAGCAGCTGCACACCAATCTACGCTTGAACCGACCTTTCTGAAAACCTCTTGGCTTAAATCTGATTGGTCATTTGGGGGTTGGGGGGGTGAGCGATGGGAGGCAGTTAAGGGTGGGAAAAATGGAATTTAGGGATTTGGGCAGGCCGATTCTCCGTTCTGGCTCTGCATGACTGCGATACGCTTCTAATAAAGTTACATCTTCTCAACCAACGGAGCCTTGCAAGGATGGTTTCTGTTTAGTGGTTTAAGTGCCAGCAAGTCTAATGCGGAAGGCAAGGACTTCAGTGTTGCTTGCAAGCGATCCTCGATTTACAGCCGGCTGCTTGGCAACTATTTGACGTTATGGCAAACCTGGAAAAAAATTTGAAGACCTAGATTCGAAATGCCAACCTTTGGGGGGGGGGCGCCCTCTGCAGTCACGTGACCAAGCTTCCGACACTTTGAAGCACAGTCTCGTTCATGGCCGTGTTCAGCGTCCCACGGTCAGCGGGGATGAGCGCTGTTGTCACTGTGGTTAGGATTGCAGGCTGACTCTGCTCACGGCCAGGCGTTCGATCCTGACCGACTCAAGGTCGAATCAGCCTTCCATCCTTCCGAGGTGGGTACAATGGGGAACCAGATTGTTGGGGGGGGGGGGAAATAGGCTGACTCTGTAAACCAGTGGTTCTCAACTTGTGGGTCGGGACCCCCTTTGGGGTCGAACGACCATTTCACGGGGGTCGCCAAACAACGCAGTCCGCCATTTTTTTCCCCCTTTTCCTTAGCTGTGCTACTCCCTTTTATTCTATTGGCTTTTGAAAGCCAATAGAATAGACTCTCTTGAATAGAGTCTAATTCTATTGGCTTTCAAAAGCCAATAGGAATTGTCCAGGCTGTCTCTGCCCTGCTGAGCCCGCCAAAAGTCCCATTCTGCAAACGGTGCTGCACCAGTTGAGTAGTCCTCGACTTACGACCGGTTGGGGGTCGCGGCATTAAAAAGGTTGAGAACCACTGCTGTAAACCATTCAGAGAGGGTTGTAAAGCACTGTGAAGCGGTCTAAGGGCTACTGCTATTGGCATTCTGATTTTGGGCAAAACCATGCCCCTAGAGCAGGGGTAGGCAACCTTGGCTCTTTTATGACTCGTGGGCTTCAGCTCTCTTCAACTCCAACTCCCATGCTGGCTCAGGAATTCTGGGAGTTGAAGTCCACGAGTCATAAAAGAGCCAAGGTTGCCTACCCCTGCCCTGGAGAAACTTATTACTGCTGCAAAAAAAAGATAATTAAATCTGGTTGCTCACACGATTACCTTGCAACCAGCGTGACATGGCAACTGTAATTTGTAGCCTCCGTTATGGTCCTGTGCATCGGTGGGATTCAAATAGGTGAACAACCGGTTCTCTCTGTGGATGCCGCTTCCGGAAGTCCATTCTGGGCCTGGGCAGCAAAAAAATTAGCTACTGGTTCTGCCGAAGTGGTGCGAGCCGGCTGAACCACAGGGTCGTCTGTTGCTTTTTTTTTTTTTTTTTTTTTTTTTTTTTTTTTTTTTTTAGCATTGTTGCTGCGGCTCTTGATTTGAAAACTCCCGATAAAGTTCCGTAAATAAATGGAGAGACTGTCCAGATCTTTCTGGAGCAGTGGTTCTCAACCTGTGGGTCGGGACCCCATTTGGGGTCGAACGACCATTTCACGGGGGTCGCCAAGCAACGCAGTCCGCCATATTTTTTTCCCTTTTTCCTTAGCTGTGCTACTCCCTTTTATTCTATTGGCTTTTGAAAGCCAATAGAATAGACTCTCTTGAATAGAGGCTAGGACAATAGGAATGGTCCAGGCTGTCTCTGCCCTGTTGAGCCCATCAAAAGCCCCAGTCTGCAAACGGTGCTGCACCAGTTGAGTAGTCCTCGACTTACGACCGGTTGAGTAGTCCTCGACTTACGGCCGGTTGGGGGTCACGGCATTAAAAAGGTTGAGAACCACTGTTCTAGAGTTTGTTGTTGGTCAAAGGGCTCGTTCTGTTTTTGAGGTTTTCTGCTTCGTTTTCTCCCACTGGGCTAAACAGACAATTGGTTCCCTCAGCCATCCAGTTGCAGGGGAAAAAATGGCAAAGGCCACCCCTCTCCCCGATGCACAAATCGGATATGCTTGTCTTCCTATCCGTAGTCGGGACGGAGACCGTCATCGTAAACGCAGCCGAGATCGCCCCAGCCGTCACCGGAGCAGAAGCCGCCATCGGAGCCGCAGTCGGGATCGTCGGCGGGCCAGCCGATCTCGGAGCCGAGAGCGCCGACGGGAGGAGAGGGTCCGCTACCGCAGCCCGCCTCCCCCTGGGTAAGCGGTCCAAAAGCTCGGGCGAGATCGTAGTGTGGTTCTCCCAGAACTGAAAAGATAAAAAGAAGGAAAGCTCAATTTTAACTACGAAGAATGAGTCAAGTAACTGGGTATGTCTGCTCTAACGGAGGGAAAGGTAGAGGTGACATGATAACAGTTTTCCAATATTTGGGGGGGGGCTGCCACAAGGAAGAGGGTGGAGCGGGTCAACCTGTTCTCCAAAGCAGGGGTCCTCAACCCCCAGTCCACGGACCGATACTAGTTCACGGCATGCCAGAAAACCGGTCTGCGCAAATAAACGAAGCCCCATCCGCGGGATGCGGGCAGCACGTGAAACCACACCCCTTCCGGTCCGCAGAACAACCTCTCTCCACAGAACCGGTCCCTGGTGCCCGAAGGGTTGGGGGGGGGGGCTCTGCTCCAAAGCTCCAGAAGGCAGGACAAGAAGCAACGGATGGAAACTAATCAAGGAGAGAAGCAAGCTAGAACTAAGAAACTTCCTGACAGTTAGAACAATCAGTGAAACAGCTTGGCTCCAGAAGTTGTGGGTGCTTCATCGCTGGACGTTTTGAAGAAGAGGCCACACTTGTCTGGAATTGTATAGGGCAGGGGTGTCAAAAACTGCCGGCCCGTGGGCCGGATGTGTCACGAGGAAACTGCGCCCACCCCATTGCCGGCAATGGGGGAAAAAGTTTCGATACATCGCGCGACACCACGTGACGTTGCGAGTTTGACATGCCTAGTATACGATCATCTAAAAGAAAGAAAGAAAGAGAAAAAGACAAAGGGAAAGAGTGAAAGAGAAAGGGAGGAAGAGAAAGAGATAAAAAGAGAGAAAGAGAAAAGAGGAGAAGAAAGGAAAAGAACAACTCAGAATTAAGGAGGAATTTCCTGACAGAACAACAAGTAAAACAGCTTGCCTCCAGAAGTTGTGGGTCCTCAAACACTGCAGCTTTTCAAGAAGAGACTGGACAGCCATTTGGGATAGGGTCTCCTTGAGCAGGGCGTTGGACTAGAAGACCTCTATGGGTCCCTTCCAAGCCTATTATTCTATGTTTGATGATTAGAGCTCTGAAACCACAAGTTAGGAAATGGAATTGAAGCGGGAAATGGAATTCTGGGGTTTTTCTCGTTCTCCAGTTCTTCGCCTTGCCTCCAGCGTCGGGCGTCCTCTGCAGTCACGTGACTGAACTTGGGGCATCGGGCAACACGGCCAGATTCACAGTCGTTTGCCGCACCCGCTGGTCACCTGACCGCGTTTTAACAACGGTTTTGCCGAAAACTGGCATTTCCAGTTTTTGGCAAAAAAAAAAAAAAAAACCCCCGCATCCATAGCAAAGCCTTGATTTGCTTAGTGACCACTGCAAAAAAAACTCCCCATAAAATCGAGTCAGTCCTTTAACCAGCCTGTTTTTTAACAACCGTTACGCCATATGACTGTAATGGGCAGGCTCCATTAGGGTGATGTGTCGAGAAGTAACCCTATTGATACACTGTGTCACCCGTGCTGCAATTGTGGGTCCTCTGCTGAAGTTGCGATCTGGGCTTGTGCTGTGTTTCTCTGCAGGCGACGGTTTGGACACAGCAAGAGTCCTTTGTTCAGAGAGAAAAGCCCCCTCCGGTGAGTATCGCCACTAAAGGGAGTAGCTGAGAGGACTCGTCACATGCCTCGTCTCTTCTCCCGGGCATCCATCTCGTGTCTGAATCACCCCACTTGTCTCCCAACAGGGAGCCCCTGGGCAGCTTGAGCCCCGAAGAGCGTGACGCCCGCACCGTGTTCTGCATGCAACTAGCTGCCCGTATCCGCCCTCGAGACCTTGAGGATTTTTTCTCTGCTGTTGGCAAGGTCAGCTCCCCTTCCCTTCTCTCCGGCTTTGGTAAATCCTTACTTGGCCCCAAGCAAAGGGCTTCTGGCCCATTCTGGTGCTTAGTTCCCACCAGCCTAGTTAGCACATAGCAATCTATGATTGCAAATAAGCGGAGTAGTGGATTTCTCAGTCTTTGGTTTTATCCCTAATTGGGCTAGTGGTTAAGACGCTGGCTTAGGAGCCTGGAGACCATGACTTCTACCGTGTTTCCCTGAAAGTAAGGCCTACACTAGGGGTCGGCAACATTAAACATTCAAAGAGCCACTTGGACCCGTTTCCCAGAGAAAAGAAAACACTGGGCGCACGCGAGGGGTGTGTGAGGCTGATTGAAGAGTTTAATTAAAAAGAAATAGAGGCTGCTGTGGATGAGTGGCTTCACGCTGTCCTCCGACAAGCTGACACACATTCTTATTGGGCTGGCTCTCTCCTGCCCTTGGTCTGCCAGTCCTCTTCCCTGTGTGTGTGTGTGTGTGTGTGTGAGAGAGAGAGAGAGTGTGTGTGAGAGAGTGTGTGTGTGAGAGAGAGACAGAGAGAGAGACTGTGTGTGTGTGAGAGAGAGAAAGCTGCTGCTTCCTGCTGAGACGCAGCAAAGGCAGGAGTCCCGCCCAATAAGCTTGTCAGCTTGTCCAAGAACAGCGTGAGGCCACTCTTTTTTACAGAGAGAAGGAAAGCGCAAATGCCTCTCTCTGTCTCTATCTGCAAGTGGCAGGGGAGGCTGGGAGCCACAGGAGAAGGCTCAAAGAACCACATGCAGCTCCGGAGCCATGGGTTGCCGACCTGTGGCCTACACCAACAATAGCTTGATTTTGGGGAGTGGGCCTAATATAAGCCCTATCCCAAAAGTAAGCCCTAGTTTGGGGGCGAGGCGCACCTAAAAATCAAGCTAGGGTGGGAGTGGGGGGTGGAGCTGCCCTACCTGCCCCGCACCCACTAATCTTGGAGCCAGGCTTCTCCTCACCAGCCCATTTCTTCTTCTGAAGCCTCTTCTGCAGCCAGGCCTGCATTTCTCAGTCACGGGGCTTTCCAGAAGGCCTGTGCAGCCAAGAACCGAGCTATGAGTTCAATCCATAGCTTGGTTCTTCAAGAGATCTGCAACTCAGGACTGAGCTATGGATTGAATCCATAGCTCGGTACTCGGCTGCTTAGGCTTTCTGGAAAGGCCTGACTGCAAAACGCAGGTCCGAATGCAGCTGCAGAACTTGGGCCCCAGAAGAAGTGGACCGGCTGGGTGGGGCTGTTGATGCCGGAGGTGAGGTAAGGCCTACCCCGAAAATAAGACCTGGTGCCTCTTTTGGAGGCAAAAAAATAATAATAAATAAGACCCGGTCTTATTTTGGGGAAAACACAGTAGTTCCATCTTAGACACAAAAACTGGGTGTCTCTGGGCGAATCACCAGGAGACAGGAAATTCTAGTCCCACTTTAGGCGCGAAAACCAGCTGGGTGACTTTGGACTAATCACCAGGTGACTGTGAGTTCTAGTGCCACGTTAGGCAGGAAAGCCAGCCGGGTGATTTTGGGCCAGTCACACACTCTCAACCCAATCCATCGCCTAAGGTTGTTTTTGTGAGGAAAATAGGAAGAAATATTGTCGACGTTCTCTGCCTTGAGTTATTTATAAAAAGAATAAAGCTGAGGTAAAACATCTAATAAATAAATAAATAAGAATAAAGGAGACCCAAGCGTGAAACATTTGGCATCTAGGACTCTTCCAGTAACGTTCTCCTCCACTGTCCCTTTCGCCCAGGTGCGTGACGTACGGATCATCTCTGACCGAAATTCCCGCCGCTCGAAAGGCATCGCTTACGTCGAGTTTTGTGAGATACAGTCGGTGCCGCTGGCCATCGGGCTGACGGGGCAACGCCTCCTGGGCGTACCCATTATCGTTCAAGCTTCCCAGGTTTGAAAACTTTTTATTTAAAAAAAAACAAACAAAAAAAAGTTAAAATCTCTGGCAGGGCTCTTCAAAACTTGGCCCTTTTATGACTTGTGGACTTCAACTCCCAGAATTCCTCAGTCAGGCATGCTGGCTGAGTAATTCTGGGAATTGAAGTCCACAAGTCATAAAAGGGCCAAGTTTGAAGAGCCCTGCTTGAGGACTTCAACTCCCAGAATTCCTCTGCCAGGCACACTGGCTGAGGAATTCTGGGAGTTGAAGTCCACAGGTCATCAAAGGGCCAAGTTTGAAGACTCCCCCTGATCTACAGCCGGCAAAGAAATTAGAAAGAAAGGTCTATGTGCTGAGATTGATCAGAGGAAGACAGGAATGCGATTTTTAAAAGGCAGATTAAAAAATAAAATACGGGTGGGATAGAAAATAAGATTTGTGGGATTACGAAAAAGAGCGAGCCGAAGGAAAGACGCAATCTCTGATGATTAGATTGAGCAGAGTCAAGGAATCCTTAATTTTTTACAATGCTTAATCTCGGGGGGGGGGGGGGGTGTTTCCTGCCTGACGTTCATGCGCGCACAAAACAGGTGTCAAACCTTCAAACGATTCTGTGGCTGCAGCCATCTCCACTACAGCAATGGGAGGGGGGAGACACTTCCTGCAGGTTTAGTCATAATAACTTTCCTGTGGGAACCAAGGTCAAGCTACCTTAGTTTTGGCGGGGCTGGAGCATCCCTTAGAAAGCCCGCCAAAGTAGTTAATTGGGGATTGTGATTTACGACATGTTGGGGGGTGGGTGGGGGGGAAGTTCATCTTGTTGCCCTGTAACCTTGGGGGGGGGGAACTGTCAGTCTTGGTTTCACCTTTGTTCCTGCCTATACTTCCTCCTCCCGTTATATACTCAAGATGGACAGTATTTAATATTTACTTGCTATGTATATGTAGGGGTGTGGGTCTGTACATACGTTGTACATAGTATGTTTAGGGGGGTGTCAGGTATGTGTTTCACTTGGAGAGCGGGCAACTCAATTTCATTTTTGATGTGTGCCTTGGTGCCCACAGTAAAAAAAAAAAAAGACAATAAAGCAGTGGTTCTCAACCTGTGGGTCGGGACCCCATTTGGGGTCGAAGACCATTTCACGGGGGTCGCCAAACAACGCAGTCCGCCATTTCCCCCCCCCCCTTTTTTTCCTTAGCTGTGCTACTCCCTTTTATTCTATTGGCTTTTGAAAGCCAATAGAATAGACTCTCTTGAATAGAGTCTAATTCTATTGGCTTTCAAAGCCAATAGGAATTGTCCAGGCTGTCTCTGCCCTGCTGAGCCCGCCAAAAGTCCCAGTCTGCAAACGGTGCTGCACCAGTTGAGTAGTCCTCGACTTACGACCGGTTGAGTAGTCCTCGACTTACGACCGGTTGGGGGGTCGCGGCGTTAAAAAGGTTGAGAACCACTGGGCTAGTTTTTGACACACACACACACCCTCCCCAAATCTGTGCCCTTAGGCGGAAAAGAACAGGCTGGCAGCCATGGCTAACAACCTTCAGAAAGGCAGCGGGGGTCCCATGCGGCTCTACGTCGGTTCTCTTCACTGCAACATCACCAAAGAGATGCTGCGTGGGATCTTTGAGCCATTTGGCAAGGTAGGGTAGGAGGAGGACAGAGAAACGGGGGGGGGTCTGTGTGTGGGGGGGTTGTTGATCTTGAAGCCCCCCCCCCCCCCGGGCATGGCCTTGGCTTTATAACTGGGGCCACCTCCTCTCTCCTCCGTAGATTGACAGCATTGTGCTCATGCGGGACCAGGATACCGGACAGTCCAAAGGCTACGGCTTCATCACTGTAAGTGGGGTGGATTTTCTCTGCACGGGGCAGAGCGGGAATCAGCATTTGCTAAGACACACGCACCCACAACGTAACAGAATCATAAGAGTTGGAAGGGGCCTTGGAGGTCTTCTAGTCCAACCCCCTGCTCAGGCAGAACGCCCTACACCCGTGATGGCGAACCTTTTAGAGACTGCGTGCCCAAACTGCAACCCCCAAACCCACTTATGTATAGTTGAGTGCCGGGTAGGCGTGGCCCATTGGGTGGGTGTGGTCTATAATAATAATAGTAGTAAGGTTGGAAGGGACCTTGGAGGTCATCTAATCCAACCCCCTGCTCAGGCAGGAAACCCTATACCATTTCGGACAAATGGTTATCCAATCTCTTCTGAAAAAGTTCCAGTGTTGGAGCATTCACCGCTCCTGGAGGCAGGTAGTTCCACTGGTTAATTGTTCTAACTGTCAGGAAGTTTCTCCTTAGTTCTAGGTTGCTTCTCTCCTTGATTAGTTTCCACTCGTTGCTTCTTGTCCTGCCTTCTGGTGCTTTGGAGAATAGCTTGACTCCCTCTTCTTTGGGGCAGCCCCTGAGATATTGGAACACTGCTATCATGTCATCCCTCATCCTTCTCTTCAGTAAATTAGGCATCCCCAATTCCAGCATACGCTTATATGCTTTAGCCTCCAGTCCCCTAATCCTCTTTGTTGCTCTTCTCTGTTTCTAGAGTCTCAACATCTTTTTTACATCGCAGTGACCAAAAGTGAATGCGGTATTCCAAGTGGGTGTGGGTGGGCGTGGCTGTGGTGGTAACAGCAGACTGGGACTAAAAAGTTCAATCAATCAATTCCAACTTTGCGAGATCTTTTTTTTTCCAGTTGAAATTGATTGATTGAACCTTTTTTTTTTTTTTGCACACGGCGGCGGAGGCCTAAAGCGAAAAGGTTTTATAAAACCCAGCTAAAGGCCTAGGACTGGGCGACGGCGCGCGTGCCCACAGAGAGGGCTCTGCATGCCACCTGTGGCACGCGTGCAATAGGTTCACCACCACAACCCTACACCATTTCAGACAAGTGGTTGTCCAGTCTTTTCTTTAAAACTTCCAGTGTTGGAGCATTTTGCTACTTCTGGAGGCAGGTGGTTCCACTGGTTAATTGTTCTCACTGTCAGGAAGTTTCTCCTTAGTTCCAGGTTGCTTCTCTCCTTGATTAGTTTCCATCCGTTGCTTCTTGTCCTGCCTTCGGGCGCTTTGGGAAATAGGTTGCGTGTCCCCCCCTTCTTTGTGGCAGCCCCTCAAATATCATGCTGTTATGCTCCTTTCTCCAGTTTACAGAAGCAGAATGTGCCCGCCGTGCCCTGGAGCAGCTGAACGGTTTCGAGTTGGCCGGCCGGCCCATGCGGGTCGGACAGGTCACCGAACGGCTGGACGGCACCACCGACATCACTTTTCCCGACGGGGCTGATGAGCACGACCGATCAGCTCTGAGCCTGGGGACCACCAGCTCCCAGCTGCAATTGATGGCGAAACTCGCCGAAGGTGAGGCTCCCTGATCGAAATGTGGAAGTTGGGGCTTGATCCTGTTTTACGTTTGGGAAGGTCCAGTAGCAACGGCTGAATTCCTTTCGGGGTCACAGAGGTATAGCGTGAGGAAGCATGTTTGGCAGAATAACAGAATTGGAATGGAAGGGGGGAAGGAGAAATCTTGAAATCAGCGTTGAAGAGAAGGAGGGACAGAAAAATTGCACAAAAAGTGACGTTTGACCAATTAGCCCACTGGTTCTCAACCTGTGGGTCGGGACCCCATTTGGGGTCGAACGGCCATTTCACGGGGGTCGCCAAACAATGCAGTCCGCCATTTTTTCACCCCTTTTCCTTAGTTGTGCTACTCCCTTTTATTCTATTGGCTTTTGAAAGCCAATAGAATAGACTCTCTTGAATAGAGTCTAATTCTATTGGCTTTCAAAAGCCAATAGGAATTGTCCAGGCTGTCTCTGCCCTGCTGAGCCCGCCCAAAGTCCCATTCTGCAAACGGTGCTGCACCAGTTGAGTAGTCCTCGACTTACGATCGGTTGAGTAGTCCTCGACTTACGACCAGTTGGGGGTCGCGGCATTAAAAAGGTTGAGAACCACTGAATTAGCCAAACAGGACTGTCTGTCGATCGGGTGTGGAAGGGAACTGCGTAGATCCAATCTAGGTCGGTCACTGGGACCATAGTTTTTTGTCTTTTGAGCTTTCGGACTTGTCCGAACTTTTCTTTACCAGATTATACTGTATGTGCGTTGGGCTATTCTGATGCTTTGTATTTATGTGGTGCCGTCCTACCGGTTGATTGGTGTGTTGACGGCCGGCGATTGGCTGTTGTTTCCTTGTGCTGTCAACTCCTCGGCCCCTAAGTACTTGATAAGCTGGTGGTAAATCAGCGCTCCTGTTGACTGACAAGGGGGCCCATTTCCCTGGCTGTTTTTGTCCCGGCTCAGCCAACAATCTCAGTCGTTGCGAAATTGAATGTACGTCCTTGTTCATTGCAGTGTGAGGCTACCAATGAGTTCCAGTCTCCTCCGTCTGGCCATTCGCTCGTGTTCTTGCAATCTGGTGGTTAGCTTCCTCCCCATTCGTCCTACATAAGGTGCAAAATTCCCCTTATCAAGTACTCAGTTTCTCAGCTACTAGGATTGTTGGCCGAGCAGGGACAAAAACAGCCAGGGAAAAAAATGACGGTACCTGCGCTGTCTTTTCTTTGTGAATAAATTTCCTGACTGTAGCTGGGTGGAGCAGAAGCGAGGAGGGCGGAGGTGGTTAGATAAGTGGAGTGAATGAATTTCACGGATACCAAAACTTCATTTATTTCCAACTTGTGTTATTTTAAATGTGCAATCCATATATATTCAGATACAAATTTAAACATTAGTGACGGCTATCCCAAAGACATCAAATGTCTGTGAAGATTCTCAAGTCATCCAAGTCCGTGCTTTTTTCAGGAGGCAACTGGACTTTCTTTTTTCTTTTTTTTTAAAAACAAATTTCATTGATTTTTTAATTTTTAAGACAACGTGCTCGAGATACACCGTGGTAGTCAAGAATCCAAAAACAAAACATTTATAGATAACTTAATCAATACATCAAACATTCCCTCTCTCTTTCCCTCAAATAGCTTATATTTTAAAATAGTCTGTTTCTAACTTAAATTTCTAATAATCCTAAACCTGTTTTACAGCTTTATGCAACTAGACTGTCTTAGTTTTCCTTCTAAGATGATTCGCTTCTCCTCCCAAGAAGCTTCCCCGGTTCTGGCTGGATGGCGGGGAATGGAAGGATTTGTACTCCTTTGCAATCCTCCGGTCCTTTGCCTTCTTTTAGACCAGCTGTCTGCAAAGGAATATAAACTAAAAGAAGGCAAAGGACCAGCTGTCTGCAAGGAATATAATCCTTCCATCTTCCCACCATTTGTAAGAGCAGCCGGCAAGATGCTGGGAGGGGAAAAAAATGAGTGTGAGATGCTAAAAGAAAAAAAAAACATTCCTTGGCCTAACCCTGCTGTTGTTGTTTCTGCAGGCACCTTTAATTTTATTTATTTATTTTTGGGGGAACCAGATCCAATCCTAGACGTTGCCTCCTCTTTGACTCTTGCACCGACTGCAGGGGAAATTGTCAGACTGTCACGATTCGTGCTCGGTTCTTGCGGAGGAGAAAGCAAACTTAACGTTACCTGGAAACACAAGTTAAAAAGAAAAGAAAAGGGGAAAAAAAGCCCAGTTAGTTATATCCAGGTAGTCCTTGACTTAACGACTCTAATTGGTCCGGGAACTTTCCTTGCTAAGCAACCCGATTTTTCAGGTGAAGGGTCTCAAAAGACCATGCCTGATTTTATAACCTCTCTCGTCGCCGTCCTTAAGGGAATCTGGCTTTGCCCATTGACTTTGCTTGTCAGAAACCAGCGGGGAGGAAGGTCTCAGACGGCAGTCGTGCCATCCCGGGACGCTGCAGCCATTGTAACACATGCTGGTTGCCAAGCACCCAAGTCGCAATCACATAACCGGGGGCGCTACCACAGTTCCAATAAAGGATGGAGCTCGGAGTTGAGATGAGAGGCTTTGGGTGCTGTCTGAGCTGGCTTTGTTTTCTTGCAGACGTTTCATGACCCAGACTAGGGAACGTCATCAGTGCTAGAAGGGAGGGGGGATTGTGGAGAGAGGAGGAGGAGGAGAACGACTGTGGGGCCCTGGGTGCTTTCTGAGCTGGGTGGTTTTCTTGCAGACATTTCACTAGGGAACATCATCAATGCTAGAAGAGAGGGGGGATTGTGGAGCGAGGAGGACAATGACAACTGTGGGGTCCCTGGTGCTCTCTGAGCTTGCTTGTTTTCTTGCAGACATTTCATGACCCAACTAGGGAACATCATCAGTGCTAGAAGGGAATTGGGGTTGTGAAGAGGAGGAGGAGGAGGACTGATGGATCCTTGGTGCTCTCTAAGCTTGGGGGGGTTTCCTTGCAGACGTTTCATGACCCAACTAGGGAACGTAATCAGTGCTAGGAAGGAGTGGGGCTTGTAGGGAGGAGGAGGAAGAAGAAGAGGAGGACTATGGGGTCCTTGGTGGTCTCTGAGCTTGAGGATTTTCTTGCAGACGTTTCACGACCCAACTAGGGAACATCATCAGTGCTAGAAGGGAGGGGGGATTGTGCAGAGAGGAGGAGAGGAAGAGGAGGGTGGCTGTGGGGCCCTGGGTGCTCTCTGAGCTGGGTGGGTTTCTTGCAGACGTTTCATGACCCAGACTAGGGAACATCATCAGTACTAGAAGGGAGTGTGGGAGGAGGAGGAGAATTTGGGGGTCCTTGATGCTTTCTGAGCTGGATGGTTTTCTTGCAGACGTTTCATGACCCAACTAGGGAACATCATCAATGCTAGAAGGGAGTGTGGAAGGAGGAGAACTACTATGGGGTCCTTGATGCTGTCTGAGCTTTGTTGTTTTTTTGCAGAGTTTCATGACCCAACAAGGGAACATTATCAGTGCTAGAAGGGAGCGGGGGGGGGGAGGAGGAGGACAATGACAACGACAACTGTGGGCTCCTTGATGCTCTCTGAGCTTTGTTGTTTTTTTGCAGACGTTTCATGACCCAACTAGGGAACATCATCAGTGCTAGAAGGGAGGGGGGATTGTGCAGAGAGGAGGAGAGGAAGAGGAGGGTGGCTGTGGGGTCCTGGGTGCTCTCTGGGCTTGGCTGTTTCCTTGCAGACGTTTCGTGACCCACACTAGGTAACGTCATCCGTTCTAGGAGGGAGGGGGGCTTGCACGGATGACGTTACGTAGTGTGGGTCACGAAACGTCCGGAAGGAAACAGCCAAGCTCAAGAGAGCACCAGGGAGCCCTCACTGCAACAGTTGTAAGCGCGGAATCTGATCAGAAATCACTTAATTTCAGCACCGTCGTGACTTCTTGGAACAGCTGCTAAACAATTTGCCCGTAAATCGGGGACTAACTGCCTTTCATCTTTTGAGGAGGATTTTACCTATTTTCTTTCCTTCCGAGCGACGGTCACGACGGAGCAACTTCAAGAAAGCCCTTCAAATACAACCCAACCTAAGGACTGTCTTATGTTCTGGACAAAAATCATGCGTGGGGGATGCCAACTCCCATCGGTCACAGCTGGAATGCTCTCCCGCCTCGGTCTTTTTAACCGCCCCAAGCGCGGCGGCCTTGTTCTTCCAGCCCCAAATATCTTGTCTTGTGTTTGCCCCCCACAGCAGGGTCTGGGATCCCCCTGTCCACCACAGCAGCGGCTCACGCTGCTTTGCAGCTGAATGGAGCGATACCTTTGGGAGCCCTGAATCCAGCTGCCCTGACAGGTAAGATGGTGGGGGGGGCAACGCAGGAGCAATTTGGAGTGGTCCCAAGGACAGTGAGTGCGTCACAACAACACTGGCTCAGTGTGTTTCAAACTCGGCGACTTTAAGACGGTTGCCAGCTGGGGAATTCTGGGAATTGAAGTCCACACATCTTGCTGGGGCATTCTGGGAGTTGAAGTCCACACATCTTAAAGTTTGCCGGCTGGGGAATTCTGGGAGTTGAAGTCCACACATCTTGCTGGGGCATTCTGGGAGTTGAAGTCCACACATTTTGCTGGGGAATTCTGGGGGTTGAAGTCCACACATCTTAGAGTTTGCCGGCTAGGGAATTCTGGGAGTTGAAGTCCACACATCTTGCTGGGGCATTCTGGGAGTTGAAGTCCACACATTTTTCTGGGGAATTCTGGGAGTTGAAGTCCACACATCTTAGAGTTTGCTGGCTAGGGAATTCTGGGAGTTGAAGTCCATACATCTTGCTGGGGAATTCTGGGAATTGAAGTCCACACATCTTGCTGGGGCATTCTGGGAGTTGAAGTCCACACCTTTTGCTGGGGAATTCTGGGAGTTGAAGTCCACACATCTTGCTGGGGCATTCTGGGAGTTGTAGTCCACGCATTTTGCTGAGGCATTCTGGGAGTTGAAGTCCACACATCTTAAAAGTTTGCCGGTTGGGGAATGTTGCGTGTTGAATTCCCCACATCTTGCTGGGGAATTCTGGAAGTCCACACCTCTTAAAAGTTGGAAGATTACTGGCTGGGGAATTCTGGGTGTCGAAGTTTACACATCTTCAAGTTGGCCATTTGCTGGCTGGGGAATTCTGGGAGTTGTGAAGTCTCCACGTTGTAAAGTCGCCAGCTTGCGTAAACTAATCCAATGAATGCTTCTTGCATTGCACCAAATATCTCCCTTTAAGCGTCTCTTTTTTTATTATTCTCCCCTGGGAAATTATTCCCGGGTTCCTAACACTTTGTTTATCTTTCTCTCACCCCTACAGCTCTTAGCCCAGCGTTGAACCTGGCTTCACAGACACTGGCCTCCCAGTGCTTCCAGCTTTCAGGACTCTTCAGTCCCCAAACAATGTAAGTCGCTAAACAGCAAAGTCGGGGGGGGGGGGTTGGGTTTGGGGGGGTAGGAAATAAGCTTTTTCATCTTCAATATGTTCCAAATTTGACACGCAGACCTTTTACGACCTAATTAAGATCTATAAGTCGACCCAGGGTGGATTTTTGCAAATAGATACCTGAAAACCCAGGTCTTTTCTGCCTTGTTCCCCTCCCCCCAAAAATCTGAGCCAGGTGACCCTTGAACCCCAAAGTTTCCCGCAGCCCTTAAATGTTCTGTGAGCAATTTCACAAGACAAAATGACAAAATAACCTGTGAAGTCCTTGGTGTGTTCCCTGAGCTGGGTGGTTTTCTTGCAGACATTTCATGACCCAACTAGGTAACATCATCAGTGTTAGGAAGGAGTGGGGTTTGTGGAGTAGAGGAGGAGGAGGAACAAAAGGTGGTGGAGGAGAAGTAGGTGGAAAGGAGGAGGAGGACCGTGGGATCCTCGGTGCTCTCTGAACCTGGTTGCTTTCTTGTGGACGTTTCATGACCCAACTAGGTAACATCATCAGTGCTAGCAGGGAGTGGGATTTGTGGAGTAGAGGAGGAGGAACAAAAGGTGGAGGAGGTGGAAAGGAGGAGGAGGAGGAGGACTGTGGGATCCTCAGTGCTCTCTGAACTTGGTGGCTTTCTTGCAGACATTTCATGACCCAGCTAGGTAACATCATCAGTGCTAGCAGAGAGGGGGGTTTGCAGAAGGAGGACTGGGGGGTCCCTGGTGCTCTCTGATCTTGGTTCTCGACGTTTCATGACCCAGCTAGCTGACATCAGTGGTAGTAGGGAGTTAGCAAAGTGGAGGAAGGAGGAGGAGGAGAATTCAGAGGTGATAGGACGACTTGGTGCTTCCGAACTTGGTTGATTTCTGGCAAACGTTTCATGACCCAACTAGGTAACATCATCAATGCTAGCAGGGAGTGGAGGAGGAGGGATGGGACTGGGAGATCCTTGGGGCTCTCTTAAACATGATTGCTTACTTTTAGACATTTCATGGCCCAACTAGATAACATTATCAGTGGTAGAAGGGAGGAGGGTGATACGGTAGTGGGGGCTTTCCAAGCTTGCAGATGTTTCATAACCCAACTAGGTAACATCATCAGTGCTAGAAGGGAGAGAGATTTATGGAGGGAGGAGGAGGAGGAAGAGGTCTGTGGGGTCCTTGGTGCTCTCTGAGCTTGCTTGTTTTCTTGCAAACGTTTCATGACCCAACTAGGTAATGTCATCAGTGCTAGAAGGGAGTGTGGGCTTTGCTCTCATTTTACAGCTAGTCCCCAGCTCACAGTCACAACTGAGCCCCCAGAATTTAAGCTGTGAAACGAGAAATTTTTCGAGTGAGTTTTGCCCCATTTTACAACTCTTCTTGCCCGCATCCGTTAAGTGAATCGCTGCAGTTGTTAAATGAGGAACGTGATCGTTAAATGAGTCCGGCTTCCCCGTTGACTTTTCTTGTCAGAAGGTCGCACAAGGAGGAATCATATCACACACACACACACACACACACACACACACACACACAGGGACACTGCGACCGGCATAAAATACGAACTGGTTGTCAAGCCTCCGAATGCAACTCACACGAGCCAGGGGGAGGCCGCAACGGCCGTTAAGTGTGAAAAACGGTCCTTAAGTCCCTTTTTTCGGGGCCGTTGTCACTTTGGTCGCTAAATGAAGCGTCGTAAGTTCGGGGGCAACCGGTATATCCCGTTGGCTTGCCCCGGGAGTGGCCTGAGTGACTCTCGCTTTGCAGATTCTCCGGCGCCCGGATTTGCGCCTTGGGCCCGTAACTTCCCTCCCGGCGCTCGGTTCTCCATCCCATCCTTACTTTTCCACCCTCTGCCCTATTTTTACATGAGATCGAGTTGGAAGGGACCTCCAAGGTCTTGCAGTCCAGCCCCCTCCCTGCTCAAGTGGTAAGGCTGAGACATAAAAGGAAGGCCCAAGTGGTGAGGACGAGGCATAAAAAGAAGGCTCAGGTGGTAAGGCCGAGACATAAAAAGAAGGCTCAAGTGGTGAGGCCGAGACATAAAAGAAGACTCAAGTGGTAAGGCCGAGACATAAAAAGAAGGCTCAAGTGGTGAGGACGAGGCATAAAAAGAAGGCTCAAGTGGTAAGACCGAGACATAAAAAGAAGGCTCACGTGGTAAGGCCGAGACATAAAAAGAAGGCTCAAGTGGTGAGGACAAGGCATAAAAAGAAGGCTCAAGTGGTGAGGCCGAGACATAAAAAGAAGCTCAAGTGGTGAGGATGAGGCATAAAAAGAAGGCTCAAGTGGTGAGGGCAAGGCATAAAAAGAAGGCTCAAGTGGTGAGGGCAAGGCATAAAAAGAAGACTCAAGTAGTGAGACCGAGACATAAAAAGAAGGCTGAAATGGTGGGGACAAGGCATAAAAAGAAGACTCAAGTGGTGAGACCAAGGCATAAAAAGAAGGCTCAAGTGATGAGGATGAGGCATAAAAAGGAGATGGAGAAGGACCTTGGGGAGGGAGGAAAACAAGGCCGAGTGGAGAGGAAGGTTGCTAATCTCTTATTTTCCCTTGTTTTGCAGGTAAGGCCCACCCAGTCTCCCCCCCCCCCAATTTCTTGCCCTTCCTCTCCCACAGAGCTCGGAAAAAGGGGGGGGATAATCATCTCCACACCATAACAGCCTCATCTGGACAACCAGCCCCCCCCAATTGGATTCCAAAGCTGGGGGATGGACTTTGAAAGAAGGATCGGCTCCCTCTCTTTGGGGAGCAGGGGAGGGGAAGAAACCCTTCTTAACACGAACTCTTGATTTTATTCCGAATTTCCCTCCCGCCAAGTGAGACCCCCCTTCTCTCCTCCCCCTCCTCAAACCATAATTGGTGGGAGGTGCGTTATCCCCCTGGGGGGAGCTTCACCGAGACCGGAGGGAGCTCCGCCCCCCAAGAATTGGAATTGCAGCTTCTCTTGCTCTCCGACTAAGCCCGGTGGGCTTTGGGGGGGCCAGGAAGATCCTTGGCTCCTTTCCCCCCCCTTTCTCTCTCTCTCTCTCTCTCTCTTTCTCTTTCTCTCTCTCCTGCTCTCGGATCAGGCTGTGAGGCTTGGCTGGATGGCTTTAGGTAGCCCTGGCGGCCGAGACGGGATCTGACTGTGTGCGTGCGCACGTTGTACATAGACCGGAGAGGCGCGCAGACTGGCGTGTGGGTGGGAGGCCCACACAGTGTATCTCTCTTCCCCGTTTCTCTCCTCCCCCCCTTTTCCTCAATCTGTAGAGGCTGCATAACCCCCGTGGGGATGTTTGGGTGTTTTTCCTCTCCCTTTTTTCTCGACACTCGTCTCCCCTTCTTGGTGTCTCCCCCGTTTTTCTGGCTGCACCCCCCCCCTCCCCTGTCCTCGGAATCCTTCAGAGAAACCCCGTCCCGTCCTTTCCAGATTTTCAAAGGTGTATTTTGGTTTTTTTCTTCTTTTTATCTCTTTTCGATTTTCTTTTTTTTTCTTCTTTTGCTTATAAACGAATAATAAAAGTCACCAAACGGAACCGTGTGTACGTCTGCTTTTTTCTTTTTCCCTTTCAAGGAGTGGGGAAGAGTTTCTCCTGAAAAGAGAGGGAAAAGCTGTAAGGATGAGGGTAAAATATTTGGGGAGGGAGGGGTTTTTTCAACATCCGGGAGTCCAAGCAAGAAAGGAAAGGAGTCTGTAGTGCCTTACTTTGATCGGTGTTTTCAAAATCAATCTTTCTGTGTCTGTCTGTCTGTCTGTCTATTTATATCTATGTATCTGTCTTTATCATCTATCTATCATCTGTCTTATCTATCTTATCTATTGTCTGCCTGTCTATCTATCCTATCTATAGTTTATAATCTATCTCTATCATCTGCCTGTCTGTCTATCCATCCTATCATCTATCTCTATCATCTGTCTTATCTATCTATTCTATCTATTGACTAGATATCAGACTAAAAATTCGACTCTTGGGTGTATTCATAATAAAATCCAAAAAAGAGATCGATCACCAAGAGGAATAAAATATTAAAAATTTATTAACCGAGCTTTCGTTGGTAAATTATCCAACATCGTCAGGGTTTTAAAAGGTAGACGCTGGGGCGTTTAATGAACGGCACAACCAGCTGGGCCCGTTAACACGCCTTAGAAGCCGGATGCAGGCTACTAACACCTTATAAAAGATGCCCCAGCGTCTACCTTTTAAAACCCCGACGATGTTGGATGATTTACCAATGAAAGCTCGGTTAATAAATTTTTAATATTTTATTCCTCTTGATGATTGACCTCTTTTTTGGATTTTACTTTTCTATTTATCTCTATCATCTGTCTGCCTCTCTGTCCTATCTATCATCTGTCTGTCTGTCCTATCTATCATCTATTTATCTCTGTCTTATCTATCATCTGTCTCTTATCATCTGTCTGCCTGCCTGTCCTATCTATTGTCTGCCTATCTGTTCTGTCTGTCTATCCATCCTATCATCTATATCATTGTCAGTCTGATCTGTCTTATCTATCGTCCGTCTGCCTATCTAATCTTTTTTAGAAAATTAAATATAGCTGCCTATTTGCTCACAGCAACTCTAGGAAGCCTACAAACAACAAAATACATGGGGGGGAGGGGGAAACCACCCCACTGGCAACAACACACAATCAAATAGCCAATTGATGGGCTCCATCCCATCCCGAGTTTCACAGGGCCGGTGGCCAAACCAAGTCTTAAGGGCCTTACAAAAGAGGGTCCAAGTGGGGGCCCATCTAATTCTTCAGGGGATGACCTTCCAAAAAGAGGGAGCCACCACGGAGAAGGCCTTGCCAGATGTATCTCCTTAGGGGACGGGACCCACAGCGTTGCTTGCCTCCCCGCTCTTTGTTTAAACCTTATTTAATCAGGTTCATTAATTTTATTAGAAGGTGTATTGTTTTAATGCATCCTTCCTTCCCTCTTTCTTCCCTTCTCCCCACCCTCCAAAGTATATTTGATTTCAGATAGATTAGGGGAAAAATGAAGCTTTCATCCATGCAAAATAGTTAATTTTTTCTCTGTAGGGGAGATTAAAGGAAAAAATTGCTCCTTTTAAGACGAGCAACTAAGATGATCAAAGGCCCGGAGACTAAAATGTGAAGAACGGTTTCTGGATTTGGGTTTGACTACTCTAGAGAAAAGGGGGGGGCATGATAACAGTATTCCAGTATTTGAGGGGCTGCCACAAAGAAGAAGGGGGGGTCAACTTATTCTCCAAAGCACCTGAAGGCAGGACAAGAAACAATGGATGGAAACTAATCAAGGAGAGAAGCAACCTAGAACTAAGGGGAAACTTCCTGACAGAACAATTAACCAGTGGAACAACTTGCCACCAGAAGTTGTGACTGCTCCAGCATTGGAGGTTTTTAAGAAGAGACTGGGCAGCCGCTTGTCTGAAATAGTCTAGGGCAGGGGTGGGCAACCTTGGCTCTTTGATGACTCGTGGACTTCCTCAGAACTCCCAGAATTCCTGAGCCAGCCTGGCTCAGCTTGGAAACCTCTCCCTTTCCCCTCAGCATGGCTGGCTCAGGAATTCTGGGAGTTGAAGTCCATCAGTCATAAAAGAGCTGAGGTTGCCTAACTCTGGCCTAGGCCTAGGCCGTTTTATGACTCGTGGACTTCAACTCCCAGAATTCCTGAGCCAGCCATGGCTCAGCTTGGAAACCTCTCCCTTTCCCCTCAGCGTGACTGGCTCAGAAATTCTGGGAGTTGAAGTCCACCAGTCATAAAAGAGCCAAGGTGGCCTACCTCTGGTATAGGAACTCCTGCTCGAAGGGGGTTGGACTAGAAGACCTTCAAGGACCCTTCCAGCTCTACTCTGATTGAAGGCCAGGAACAAAGTATTAATCGAGTGGGCTTCTTTTCTGGGCTGTGGGATTTAATGTAGCTCCCAACCCACTTAATTCTTTTGACTTCATTTTATCCTTGTTGCCCCATGAGTCGCATCGGTGCGGCTCAGCCTTTCAGCTCGCCAGAGACCCAGAGAAATTCGCCAATGAGTGAACCCCCAAATTGGCATCCCGGAGACAGGTTGGGCTGCCTTAATCCCCATTTTCCCACCTGCCTTGTTTGCTTTTGAGTTGTGCTGTCTCCGGTCGTGCCTTATTGTTTCCTCCCCCCCCCATGGAACACTTTCCACAGGGGAAAAACGTTCTGTCCCCACCCTCAGCCGGGGTCTCTTCCCCTTTTGCCCCCAACTCTCCACGGGCAGAAGCGACTGTGAAATTCACACAGGGAGTTCTCGACATAATGGCAGCCAAAAAAAGCTAACACGAACCTGGGTTGTATAAATAGAGGCATAAAATCAAGATCACGCAAGGTATTAGTACCGCTGTATAAAGCCTTGGTGAGGCCACACAAAAAAGATGTTGAGAGTTTGGAAAAAAATTCAGAGAAGAGCAACTAAGATGATCCAAGGCCTGGAGACCAAAACATACGAGAAAAGAAGAAATAGGGGAGACATGATAGCAGCGTTCCAGTATTTGAGGGGCTGCCACAAAGAAGAGGGGGTCACATTGTTCTCCCAGAGGGCAGGACAAGAAACAATGGGTGGAAACTGATTAAAGAGAGAAGCCACCTGGAACTAAGGAGAAATTTCTTAACAGTAGGACCAGTGGAAACATCAACCAGTGGAACAGCTTGCCACCAGAACTTGTGGGTACTTCATCACTGGAGGTTTTTAAGAAGAGACTAGACAGTCACTTGTCTGAGATGGTATAGGTTCTCATGCTTGAGCAGGAGGCTGGACTAGAAGACCTCCATGGTCCTTTCCAGCTCTACTCTACTCTACTCTACTCTACTCTACTCTACTCTACTCTGTATTTTATTATTCTGTTGTATTCTACTCTATCTACTCTATTCTATTCTGTATTTTATTCTATTCTGTATTTTATTCTATTCTATTCTATATTCTATTCTATTCTATTCTATTCTATTCTATTCTATTCTGTATTCTATTCTATTCTATTCTATTCTATACTCCATTCTATTCTGTATTTTATTATTCTATTCTATTCTATATTCTATTCTATATTCTATTCTATTCTATACTCCATTCTATTCTGTATTTTATTATTCTATTCTATTCTATATTCTATTCTATTCTATTCTATTCTATTCTATTCTATTCTATATTCTATTTTATTCCATTCCATTCCATTCCATTCTATTCTATTCTATTCTATTCTATTCTATTCTATTCTATTCTATACTCCATTCTATTCTGTATTTTATTATTCTATTCTATATTCTATTCTATTCTATTCTATTCTATTCTATTCTATTCTATTCTATTCTATTCTATTCTATATAGAGATGAGGAGATAGAGAAAAAGACTACAGTTGAGACCATTGAGAATATCCAGAGACAGCTGGGACCAGAATTTTGTTCCCTTAAGCAAGGCAGTTATTATGATAGATTGAGTTGTGGGTGGTTTTATGATTTTATGTGAAGGAAATAATTGGAGTCGCTAAGTGAATCTCACAGGCGTTAAGCAAATCCACCTTCCCCCGCTGACTTTGCTTTCGGAAATCGGCTGGGAAGGTCACAGATTTTGATCACACAACCATACTAGTCCCAAAAGCTCCCTTCATAAATCATTGCACAGTGCTGGTGTCATTTGGAACAGTTGCTAAACAAACGGTTATAAATAGAGGACTAGTCACCAATGTTCTTTCTGGTCCCATCGCCCTAGAGGCAGCCACGTTCCTGATTCCACAGTTGGTGCCATAGATGCCACAAAGCGTCGCTGAGACACACAAAAAAGCAGTGGATTTGATGACCCAGAATAACAGCTGGGAGGTACCTTGGAGGTCATCTAGTCCAACCCCCTGCTCCGCAGGAAACCCTATACCATTCCAGACAAACAGCTGTCCAATTTTTTCTTAAAAACATCCCGGGTGTTGGATCAGCCACAACTTCTGGTGGCAAGCTGTCCCACTGGTTAATTGTTCTCACTCTCGGGAAATTTCTCCGTTCCGGGTTGCTTCTCTCCTGGATTCGTTTCCGTTTCCATCTGTTGTTTCTCATCCTGCCTTTAGGGGCTTTGAAAAAACAGGTTTACACACACACACACACACACACACACACACACACACACACACGCCTTCCTTGGGGCAGCACCCCAAATATTGGAACGCTGCTATCATGTCACCCCCTAAGGCCTTCTTTTCTCTAGACTAGACACACCCAATTCCCGCAACCGTTCTTCATACGTTTTAGCATATTTGAGTCTGGTTTTGCTTGCAGACAAAACTGATTTTGGAAGGATTGTGTGTCATTGTTACACATCTCTGTCTTGCCTGCTCTTGGGGGGGGGGTTCGGATGGCTCTGGATGCAGGCCAGTGACAATTCAGTTTCCCCAGAGCCCCCCTCTTTTGGGGGGGCAGCCCCTCAAATATTGGAAGACCGCTATCATGTCACACACACCCCGTCCTTTTTTTCTCTAAACTAGACAGGCAGACCAATGACAGTTCAACTCCCTCACTTTGCCCAGTCTTGGGGAGGAGGGGG